AGCCTGGGCTGGCCGTGGGTGACAAACAGGACATGGCTGAACAGACTTTGTGACTTTTTTTTTTTTCAGACAGAGTTTCGCTTTGTTGCTCAGGCTAGAGTGAGTGCCATGGCATCAGCCTAGCTCACAGCAACCTCAAACTCCTGGGCTCAAGCAGTCCTTCTGCCTCAGCCTCCTGAGTAGCTGGGACTACAGGCATGCCATGCCCGGCTAATTTTTTCTGTATACATTAGTTGGGCTATTAATTTCTTTCTATTTATGGTAGAGACGGGGTCTCACTCTTGCTCAGGCTGGTTTCAAACTCCTGACCTCGAGCAATCTGCCTGCCTCGGCCTCCCTGAGAGCTAGGATTACAGGCGTGAGCCACCGCGCCCAGTCGACTCTGTGACTTCTAAGTCTTGGTCACAAGAAGTCCTGCAGCCTCCACCTTGTTCCCTCGGAATGCTCACTTTTGAGACATTTCGTCTTCAGAGCTGGCTGTCATTGTGTGAGATACTCAAGACACACAGAGGCCGTATGCAGGGCTCCGGGGACAGTGGGCATCACCTCACAGCCACATCCCAGGTTCTTGGGGCCATCCAGACTTCCTGAATCCAAGTCTGTGTTATAAGAAGCCCTCTGGGAGATTCTAATTCACACTAAAGCTTGAGAAGCACTTCTACATCAATGGCTTTCCACTCCCTTATTTTTTCCTGACAGCCCGTCTCAATAAGACAGAAGACCCTTTGGTCCACATGGGCCTCGCTTGATCTGGTCTCACTTTTTCAGTGGAGGCAGACTTTGATCATAAGAACAAAGGTCCCTGTGGATAGTGGGCACCTGCTCCTTTTGCCTGTACAGTGTTGTTTCCTTCTGCCTCTTGTTATGGTGCCTGGCTTTTTGCTGGGGAGCTTCTCCTCGCCCACCCCATGTGGCCACAGTGGGACTGTACGCAAATGCCCCTCCCTCTGCCCTGGTGAGAGCACGTGAGTCAGGCTGGGTCGTCATCGCATCACCTCCCTGTGAACACAGACAGGGGCAGTGGGGACACTGACCCACAAGAGCCAGTCAGAGTTCTTTCTGAAACTGTCAGATCAAGTGGAGGAAAAGGTTCTTCACCAGGTGGTTTATCTGTGACTCTGTTACCCTGGAGCTGATAACCAGCCATGTCTGAAGTTATCAACTGCTGGACTACCTGTTTGTTCTAGCCAGTGCATTCCTTTTAAATTGAAGCCATTTGAAATTTGGTTTCTGTCACTGGCAACCGAAGAGTTCTGACAATATAAGCAAATGTTATATGTAGGATTATACATATGTCTAGTATAGCAATAGAGGATTGATGAGTTGATATTTGAGCTGAAATTCAGACATGATTTTTAGATTTGCTATCGGAAACACAATGGGCCCAAGGCTCAGTTGAAGAAGTACGCATCTCTGCACACTGATGCAAACTGGAGTCCATTGGCTGAGTAATACGGGTTGTTTCCACATCTTTGCAACACTTATGTGCACATATGGAAATAAAACTCATAGGAAATCAACCAGGTGGGAGGGGGGCGGAGAGGATGAGTAAATTCACACCTAACGGTACAATGTGCACTATCTGGGTGATGGGCACACTTACAACTTTCACTCAAACTGTACAAAAGCAATTTATGTAACTAAAACGTTTGTATTCCCATAATAATCTGAAATAAAATAAAATAAAAATCGGAAAAAATAAAACAGCCCATTGGGTCAGGGTCCTAGGGAGGCTTTTGTTTTCCTGGTATAAAAGCCAACACGCGGCCGTCACACAGATTTTTCTCTGTTCCTTCCTCTCCTACCTGCCTGAAATGCAGCCATGTGCCTGGGGGTGCAGCAGGCCCCGTGAGTGGATGGGGGTGAAAGCCGCATGCTGAGGGTGGTGGGGCAGAAAGAAGGAAGCAGCCCACTTCTTGCTGGTCCTGGGAGCTGTTGTCCTTGTCCAGGGTTGCCTTCCCCTGGGCTTTTTTTTTTTTTTTTTTTTGAGACAGAGTCTCACTTTGTTGCCCAGGCTAGAATGAGTGCTGTGGTATCAGCCTAGCTCACAGCAACCTCAGTCTCCTGGGCTCAAGCGATCCTGCTGCCTCAGCCTCCCAAGTAGCTGGGACTACAGGCATGCGCCACCATGCCCGGCTAATTTTTTGTATATATATTTTTAGTTGGTCAATTAATTTCTTTCTTTTTTTTAGTAGAGACGGGGGTCTCGCTCTTGCTCAGGCTGGTTTTGAATTCCTGACCTCGAGCAATCTGCCTGCCTCGGCCTCCCAGAGTGCTAGGATTACAGGCGTGAGCCACCGCCCCCGGCCTGGGCTTCTTGATATTTGAAGAAAAGTAACCCTATTTGGCTGGGCAACTATAGCTGGGTTTCTGTTACATGCAGCCAAGTATAACCCTAACTTTGACAATGCCCTTCACCCAGGACATCCAGAGAAAGGGCTTGGATTTTTGGATCAGGTCTCAGCCCATCAGTGGCCCACACTGAGAGACTTGCCACCTTGGACCAACTTGTCATTTTCAGGTGAGAGACCTGGGTCCCTGTATTCATTTCCTGTCACTGCTGTAACAAACTGCCACAAATTTAGTGCCATAAAACCACAGATTCATTATCTTACAGTTCAGGAGGTAAGGAGTCCTAAAATCAAGGTACCAGCAGGGGTGCGGTCCTCCTGGAGGCTTCAGGGGCGAATTCCTTTCTTTGCCTTTTCCAGCTGCCAGAGGCTGCCTGCATCGCTTGGCTCACGGTCCCTTCATGTTCAACGACAGCAGTGTGTGCCCTCCGGTCAGAATCTCTCTGACTTCTGCTTCTGTTGTCACATCTCCTCCTCTGACTCTGACTGTCCTGTCCCCCTTTCCCTAGGAGGACTCCTGTGATTACACAGGGCCCACTTGGCTCATCCAAAACCATCTCCTCACAACAGCTTAGGCTTAATCACATCTGCAAAGTCATTTTTGCCATGTAAGTTTCTGGAGTTGAGGATGTGGACATCTCAGGAGGGCATTATTACCCTGTCCACCACAGTCCTAGAGATGGAAAGCGACGTGTCCAAGGGCATGCACAGAGCTAGTTGTAGAAAGAGAACTACATGGAGGCTCACCCCACGGGCAGGAGTGCCCTTTCTCCCTCTCCTTGGCATGAAGCTAAAGCCCAGCCACTCTCCAAGGTCCGTCTCAGGCTGTCCCCTGCCCAGCCAGACGCCACTGCTGCCCTCCATGGCCCACAGAGTCCACCCTCTTGGCTGGGTCTATGTTGCTCTTGGCACTCCGCACACACTTGGTCAGTAGTCTTGAAGGTGTTCACTTGTCCTCTGCCCAGTCTTGACCCCTGAGGGCAAAGATCACACCTTGGACCTTTTTTTTTTTTTTTACCCCTAGAGCCTGCTGCGCAGAGTAGAGGCTCAGCATGTATACGGTTCATGTTTGTGGCACATTTTCCAGACTGACTCACTCAGCTCCTGTAGCATGAGTCTGGAAGGCAAGAAACTGTGTTTCCCAGACCCCCTTGCAGGCTGGACTAGGTTCCACTGAGCCAGACACGGGGAAAGCCAGGTGGTGGCCACAGGTGGAGAGAGGGGGTCTTCAGGGGACACAGCGGTGGGTGTGCTTGGTTCTTTGGGGGCAGCAGTGCCAGGGGCTGTACTGTTGGTACCCTGGCATCTTAGGAGCCAAGTGGTGGGGGCGGTGGTCCCAACGGAGCTCCTCAGTGCCCTCGGAAATTTGTAAACTCCTCATTCTCGCCCTGATTGATTGCGGAGCCCCAGAGGGCAGGAACTACATTTTATAATTCTTTTGTAAACAACTGTAAATAGCTCCCTCATAAGCTTATCAACAAAATATGCACAATTCATTGAACTGGGTTAAAGCTCTAACATTCCTAAGAATTTTTCATCCTTTCTGTGAATCAACAGCCTGAAACGGCCCCTGGGCCCCAGGGGCGTGCTGGCTCAAGCCTGTAATCCCGGCACTTGGGGAGGCCAAGGGCACTTGGGGAGGCCAAGGCACTTGGGGAGGCCAAGGCGAGAGGATCACTGGAGGCCAGGAATTTGAGACCAGCCTGGGTGGGTATCATAGCACTATCACTGTGCCACTGCACTCCAGCCTGGGGCCACAGAGCAAGACCCCATTTCTTTAAAAAAGAAAAAAACAAAGAGCCCGAAATGAAGTGGTGAAATAATAACATGGTCCTCCTCCTTTGAAACCTGAACGCTAAATCAGACCAGAAGTCACATTTTCTCATTTCAATTTAATTACTTGAAAGGGTCACAGGGCTTCTTACATCAATTTTTATTTATTGCAAAAATAACATAACATTAAGTGGAATTTTGTAATTTATCCAAAAACCTCACTGGCCTAACAGATCGTGATATTCCCATTTCCTTCCCAGCGCTATGCCCACACGTCCTCATTTTTGCAGGGCTGTCTTCTGTATACAGCCTTGTATTCTACTTTTTCATATGTTAGAACATTAAGCATTTTCCACGTGGTTACCTAGTCTTCACTTTTGGTGGCGTTATTTCTTTCAGTGGCCATGCTATAATTTTTTGAACAATCTTCGTCCTTGAACGTGTAATTTTCTTCCAGCTAGTTCTGGCGTTGTAGCTTACACCGCAGTCAGCGTCCCGGGACTCACTTCCCTAGCGTCGCCTCCCGGGCGCGGGGCTGGCCACGAGGGTCTGGCTGGTGGGTCGGGCTGCGACACCTCCTGCTAGAGGCCGGGACACAGCGAAGCCCCGGAGCAGCCTGTTCTCTGCAATTTTGTTGCTTTTACAGGTGCCCTCTTGTCTCGACTTGCTTTTGACTATTTCCCAGGGACTCGTCTTCTGCCCTTGCTGCTCTTTGTCCACTGTTCTCCCGAGAAGAAGGCTTCCATTTCGGAAGCACGTGACCCCGGAGCTCGGAGGCGGCCCCCACGGGTACCGGTCTGCGCCTGGCCGTCCGGGGTTTGCGCCAGGGCGTCCCGGGTTTGCGCGCGGCCGTCCCCGCCCCGCCCCGCCGGACTACACTTCCCAGGCGCCCCTGCGGGGCGGGCGCGGGCGCGGGACCCGGCGGCCGGTTGGGACCCGGAGTCCGAGGTTCGCGGCGGGGCGCGATGGCCGCGTGGGCCGAGCGGCTGGCGGGCGTGCGCGGGGTGCTGCTCGACATCTCGGGCGTGCTGTACGACTGCGACGCGGGCGGCGGCAGCGCGATCGCCGGCTCGGTGGAGGCGGTGGCGAGGTGAGCGGGCCGCGGGCGGGCGCCGGGGCGCGGGCTCCGGCTTCTGCGGGCCCCTCGGGCCGCCGCCGGGGGCGGGGCTTCCGCCGGGCCACGCCCCTCCACGCTACGCCCCGCCCCGTCCCCGCGGAAAGCCGAGCGCCGGTCCCCGGCCCGCTGCGGCCGCGGGTGTGCGGGGCCGCGGGTGTGCGGGGCCGCGGGTGTGCGGGGCCGCGCGGCGCTGGGCCTCCACCGGGCTGGGCTGCGCGGGCCGCAGGGCGGCCGCTGGGTCCCCGTGGCTGCCGAGCGCTCCAGGTGTGGCCAGTCTGAATTGAGATGTGCTCTAAGTGTAAAGCACACACCGGATAACAAGACTGAGTGAGAAGAATGTAAAATAGCTTATTGAAATTATTTTATGCTGATTATATGAGGAAATGATAATACTTGCAGTATAACATACAGGGCCTGAGGAAGAGGGCGCTTGGCAGGAGCAAGGAGCTGAGGGGCCCTGTGTGCTGGGGAGGAGGGGCAGTGGCCACAGAGAGGTGTCTGGACCTTATCCTCAGTGGGAGGAAGTCAGTGAAGATTTTAGGTAGGCATGTCATGTGATCTGGTTAATGGTTTTTTTTTTTTTTTTTTGAGACAGAGTCTCGCTTTGTTGCCCAGGCTAGAGTGAGTGCCATGGCGTCAGCCTAGCTCACAGCAACCTCAAACTCCTGGGCTCAAGCAATCCTGCTGCCTCAGCCTCCCAAGTAACTGGGACCACAGGCATGTGCCACCATGCCCGGCTAATTTTTTCTCTATATATTAGTTGGCCAATTAATTTGTTTCTATTTATAGTAGAGATGGGGTCTCGCTCTTGCTCAGGCTGGTTTCGAACCCCTGACTTCGAGCGATCCGCCCCGCCTCGGCCTCCCAGAGAGCTAGGATTATAGGCGTGAGCCACCGCGCCGGGCCTGGTTTATGTTTTAAAGACATTGAAATGTAAAGAGCGAAAACATGAGTGCAAATGAAAGCAAAGGAGATTTCCTCTGAAGTCTTGGGTTGAGAGAAAGTCTCTGCCTCCAAATCTAGGAATCAGCAAGAGCAAATGAGCGGCCCAGTAGGAATATGGACAAAGGATGTGAACAGCTCTTAAGAAAGGAAAAACAAGAGACCTAAAAGATGCTCAGCCTTACTCGAATAAGAGAAATGCAAATTAAAACTATACCGACATGCCATTTTTCATCAATTTGAGAAAACTGGCAAAAATCCACAAGTTCGAGAACACGTTCCCTCGGCGAGTTTGTGGAAACAGAGGCTGCTATGTGTTGCTTGTGGGAGATTCATTTGACGTCTATCAGCAGTTCCACTCCTGGGAATTTGTCCTACTCGTCCATGAGAAATGACACAAGTACAAGGTCTCTCACGGCAGTGCCTTTTGAAATAGCCAAAGACTGGACACAGCCCCGGTGCCCATCAGTAGGGGAGTGTTAGAGTCCGTCTGTCCGTACGCTGGGGTATGAAAGGAGTGAGCACCCTCTCTGTGGGCACACTGCTGGTGAGATAGCAAGCACACGACAGGGTGCACGGTGCGCCGTCTCTGCAGAAAAGGCAGAAATGCAAGCATGTATTCCTATCGCTGTGTTTGCATGAAGACACTGGAAGTGCACAGGCCGCCTCAGGGTCTGTGGGAAGAGCTGGGGGACAAAGGACAGGGGAACTGGGTGGTTGGAAGGAGGGTGGGAAAGACTCCTCACTGGATAACTTTGTATATCAATTTTTTTTTTTTTGAGACGGAGTCTCTCTCCGTCACCTGGGCTAGAGTGCTGTGGCGTCAGCCTAGCTCATAGCAACCTCAGGTCCTGCCTCAGCCTCCCGAGTAGCTGGGACTACAGGCACGCGCCACCATGCCCGGCTAATTTTTCTATTTTTAGTAGAGACGGGGTCTCGCTCTTGCTCAGGCTGGTCTCAAACTCCTGACTGTCCAAGAAACGCACGCAGAGTCCAGGGGGTGACGTTGAGAAGGGTTCTGCCTGATCCCAGGAGGGTTTAGTTTTGATTTGCTTTGACTCCTGCAGACTTATCTAGCTGGGTGTCTCTGGTAACAGCTACACTAAAATCTAACAGCAATAAGAGAACAGCTTAAAATACACTGCAGCGGGTTATGTAGCTGAGAGAGGCGTGTGGGATTGTTTTTGGTGAGGCCCGAGTACTCACCATCCTGGGAGGTTTATCACTGTGCTGTCCTGGGGCCCGCCGAACCGAGTATCTGAACCCCCCTGGGCTTCCCACGCCCCCGACTGGTCCACCGGGCCTTCTCAAGGGGCCTTTGTGGCACCTCCCAGTGGCTGGCAACCCACACCGGGGCGCCCTCTGGTTCTTATTGACCTTCGTTTGCCCTCCAGCTCGTCTGTCATTTTTTCAGGACAGGCCCCCCCCCCCCCGTGCCCCCCAGACCCAGCCTCTGAGGGGCCAACCCATCACACTCAGGCCCAGGGGAGCCCGCGTGCCCGTGGGTGCTGGGACAGGTGCCGAAGCCGCAACGAAAGCAGTGGGGAAACTTCCCCTCCAGGAAAACATTCCTGCTTTTGGAGCTTTCTGTGGGGATTTTCCAGAGGTACAGGACACTGTTATCTTCCTCTCCTGCGGGCTAAGCCGAGAGCGGACTCTCGTGGGAGCTGTGCACGCAGCAGGCCCTGCTTGCCAAGGCGCTGGGCATGCAGCGGACCGTGTGGCTTTCGCAGCCACCACCTTTCACTCTGTGGCCTCGATATGCAGGCGGCTCCCTTTGAAGTCCGGCAGGGGCTCAAAGGAAGTTCCTGGGCTGAGACCTGCAGCTGTGGAGGGATGGATGGAGGGAGGGACGAGTGTGAGGGCCTTGGGGTCCTGGGGAGCATAGGTCTCCATGGCAACTCCCCAGGTGCTGTGAGCTGGGGGGGGCATTGTCATTCTGTGGGCCTGGGTGGAGTGGCTCGCTGTGGCCACTCTTCTCCCTGGATTTTCCTGGTGACAGGTGTCCTCATATTTCATTGAGAGACACAGAGCACAGGGGAGTATAAGCTGGCCTTGTTAAAATAATATTGCCATGGTAACAGTGGTCACCACGCATTGAGAGTGGCCTGTCCTGTACTGGGCAGGTGCCTGACCACCCACCACATTTCACTGCAGCCCCTTTTCAAGGTGAGGCCCAAGGCTTAGAGAGACTCAGGACCTGGCAGAAGTAGAAAAAGCAGCTGAGTCCCCATCAAAGGTGCACGTGCACATTCATTCCTCCACACACCCTGCAGCAAGCAAGCCCTGAGCACCCTGCCATGCTAAGAACACAATTCTAGCGCTGGGGCTGTGTGGCAGTGAACAGGCAGGTGGAAGCCTGTGTCCTGGCAGAGCCGACTCTGCAGTAGAGGACACCGGTGGTGACAGCAGTAGTGGTGGTGACAGCAGTAGTGGTGGTGACAGCAGTAGTGTGTCCCCAGCCGAGAGATGGGGAGCCCAGGGCTGGGAACGCCTGGCTGTGCAGTCCCTGTGGTGAGTGCGCTGGGATCAGGAGATGCCAGATAAGAGCTTCCAGATGGAGGATCGAGATGCCCAGGCTGGTGCTGTCCCCCTTCCTGCAGCCACAGGGCCCACGTTCTGCTCTAGGACTTGTGGTGGGCGTGGCCGCAGGCCTGGACATCTGTACCCAGCGGAGTCCCCCCAACTAGCCCTTTATTGGAGCTCTTTCTTGGGTGGATTGGGCTCCCCGAGGGGAGCCATTCAGAGGCTGGGCCAGGCACAGCGGGGGGCTGAAGAGGCCCGCCTAGGGGCCCTGCCTGATGGCCCAGAGGCATCTGCATGTGAAAGGGGGGTGGGCATTTACTGCATCCTGTCGTGGCCACTAAAGCACATCTGCTGGGCCCAGCCCATGCCTGGCCTGGCCTTTTTGGAGCCGGCGGAAGGAAGCAGGCTGGGCTGGGCCCAGGGCAGCCTCATAAAGCAATTCCCACCCAGGACCGCCCATGGCCCTGGTGCTGCTGAGCCAGGCCACAGCCCGTCCTTCCAGTGGCACCTGTCAATCCCCAGTGTGCACCTGCAGCCTTGGGGACCCTTTCAAAACGCAGGTGGCTCCCAGCAGGTCTTGGAGCAGCGAGGGACCAGGGCCAGGTGAACGTTGAAGTCCGGCTACTCCTGGGGCCCTGGGGCCTCCTCCTCCTCCGTGCTTGGCTGCCCTGGCACCATCTGGCCTTAGGGACACGGGTGCCCAGGAGCAGCAATGACAGCAATAACAACAACAGTGATAATAATTTGGGTCGTGCAGCCTCATCCCACCCCCAACACGTGATGAGGCACTTGCCGGAGGGGCCCTGCAGGACACTGGGGGGGGGGCATTTGTTTGAGTTTGTTTAAGCCAACGGGAGCTTTCCTGACTCAGCCTGGACCTTGGACAAGGGGTGTTGGTCGTGTGCTGTGTGCTGTCATTTGCGCTGCCTTCGACGTGGGGGACGGTGGGAACAGCACGCTGCTCTCCTCACCCCGGGCTCCGTGTTTTCTGTCTGTCCTTCCAGCTTTTTAAATTGCATAAGAGATAGACGGCTTCCCTGTGTAGACATTCCCACCAGCACATGAGTATACAGAGCGAAAAGTTCAAGTCCTGCGTCATTTGCCTCATCCCAGTCACTTCTCCAGGGTGACATGGCAGATCCTTCCAGATCTTTCTTTCGTATTCCCCAAAAAGCAGAGAGTATTTTGAGACACAGCTCCTGCCTTCCCTGGTTCTCGTTCAGCCCTGGGGGCACTGGCCCCTCATACTATCCACGGCCCACTGCCCCTGCCCTGCTCGCTCCAGACTTGTGTGACCCCTCTCAGGTCCCCAAGCCAGGGGTGTCCAACTCTGTGTAGCCTCAGAACATTTATCTCCCAAATCAAATAGGGGCTAGAACTCCAAATTGAAAAAAAAAAAAAAACAGATAAAAGAACAATCTGAATAGTGTATGTTTTCCATATTTAACTTTATAGTGTTCATTTGAGGTCATTCAATGAAAATGATGAAAGCGTTTTGATGAACA